AAATTGTTTGTGAAAATACTATGAATCCTCAGAATACTTTGGTGTGCGAACAGGACATGAACACTAGCCAGCAAAATGATTTTGCATTTGTGATGGATGCCCAAAACTTTCATTATGTGGTGCCCAACCTTCTGAAAAATGCACATACCACACAAAGGTTCAAAGTGGAACTTGGGGATGAGCAAATTCTTCGCTGGAGCATGGCAGACATACAATATGGCACCATCGAAAAGCTGATAATAGAACATGGAAAAATCTGTGTATCAAAAATCGACAGCAAGAAAAAGATAGTCAAGTTTGCGTCAAAGAATATAAGCAATAAAAGATCTGTGGCATTCTGTCATAGCATCATTCGAGGCATCGCCCTGGCTGAAATGATGGAGACACTAGAGAAAGAAGTGACAGAAGACAAGATAGCAAGGAAAAAGCTCTTGAATAAATTTACCAATTGTAGTAGAAGAGATCCAGGTCGTAATGCAGGCATGAAATTGGAAAAGGAATTCCTTGCTGTCCATAAACAACTACACAAAGACAGTGAATATTTGGAGATAGATCGTTATTTTCATAATAAATCGATTTTTGTGTTTGACCCGGAAGGGTATCTTAATTTATTTGTTTCACCTGAACTTTGTAAAAAATCGTATTATTTTTACCAGGGGGAGGAGGATCTTTTTATGATTAAAAATTTCAAAGGATTTTGTCGTGTTGATGATTAAGACTAAGTGGTTAATATATATTATATATAGGGTTTATCAACCAATCTTTTTTTCATAAAAAATATATAATCAATGTAGTGATTCTATCTTTTTACGAAAAGCTGTAAATAATTCTTTTATGGATGTGTCTGACTTTAAAAAATACTTATTCTATAATAGAAGTACAGCACATTTTTTCATCACTGTAATGTCACAGCAGCCACTGGAACCACAGCAAACACATACATACACACTAGGTAGGTTCATAAAACCAAAACATATCCAAATAATTTTTTAACAAAGCTTATCTGACGTTCATAAGGCTAAATAACAATCAAAAAAATTTCCAAGTTCCAACTCCACCGGGAAAGTCGATCTAGCAGAGAAGATTATCGACATCCTCAAATACTGGAGTCCACAAAGGAGCATGTACTATTCTGCAGCAGCTCCTCAATCGACAGATCCTCTGGATGGCCTGCAACACCACGTCCTGGAGCTTGTAGTAGGATCTGCCTTCAAGCAACTGTTCAGTGACACAGCATCACCCGAAGTTACCTTGTTTGAGATCATGAAGACCAATTGAAATTGGGGAGAGCTCGACCTGCAGAACATCGTCCTCACTGATATTCCCACTTGCTACAGGACCGACGTAGAAGACCTTCTGCCCTCCACATCAACAATCAGCCCAGAGGAGACTACAAGGAATTCTTAGAGCTTGCTTAAGTAATCCTTGGAGAAAGCATTGAGAGGAAGAAAGGATGTACGTATTCCAGATACAAAGACCTGGAGCTGATCATCATGGCAGATGGATGGCTAAATTAATTTACATCCTGAAGATAGCGCTTCTTCTTCATCAGATCCCACTTCACTGGATGAAGAAGAAAGAAGTGCAGAGGATGGCTCTCTTTGTTGTTTTTGTTTACCTAAAAGCTTGGTTCAGTGCTCCCTTCCTTGAGTCTGCAGCCTCCAACGACATCCATCTGTTCCAGAGCCTACAGAAGTACAAAAGTGTGGACAGAAAGGTAGCAGCCATCACTACAACAGTCCTCAACAGGCATACATGGTACTTGACGGAAGAGCTTGTCCCACTCTCCTTGTTTGATGACAATCTAGCTCTAGATCAGAGAACTCTCCTTGCAATAATATGTCAATTTATTTTACTCTACAATCTAAAACTATTATCAACATGGCTAAATGCAAGATGCCTCGTAGAGAACTTCCCTTTATCTTCTGGAGAAGCTACCATACTCTAAACTTCCCACCAATGGTGATGTATTTCGGAGACTAATGTTTGAGATCCAGGAAAATCATGGATCTATCAGTCTATCCACTGCATCTATCACCGTTATGGAAGAACTGCGCAAGGTGTGGGAATACGCCGCGCTGGTCATAAGGATATCCTTCAAACTAACTCTAGCATAGTGAGGAAGATTTCCTCTCTTCACGAATCTTACAAATAGTTAATGAAGATTTCACGACGACAAACGGAATTGTTTAAGAAGAAAGAAGATACCTTCACGAAGTCCTTGGTCCTTGGAGCTACTCTTTGATGTTACCGTGAAGTCCATCCATGGATCAGGCCTTAATACAGCTGAAGACCGTGAATTCCTTCTACGCCACTGGGACAAGACAGTGAGTTCTACACGTGACAACGGTACAAAGATCCAAGAAACTTGCTCGAGAAGAACACTACCGGAACTACTACTGAGCCCTCTGACGTCTCCCCTTCAGGCAGCCCCGGCCTGTTAAAATTTGGTATAAAATATGGGCGTGGCATGTAATCGACTTTCCCGGTGGAGTTGGAACTTGAGTTGGTTGTTATTTAACCTTTTGAACGTCAGATAAGCTTTGTTGAAAAATTATTTGGATATTTTTTGGTTTTATGAACCTACCTAATACACACACAGAGGTTAGATATTTCAAATAACTGCACACTGCACAGAAGAAGATAGACTTCGCAAACACCTTGGCCTTCCTCTTCCAGCAAATTGTGGTTCTGTGCTTGATAGTACAGTGCTGTACCATCTAACCGTATAGACTGTGTGTGATGAAGATCACTGACGCCTTGATGGTTACGTCAACTCCCAGAACCTCATCCATTGGAGTTCTACTAAGCTGGTTGAAGTGGTGCTGAAAGCTTTTTTCCTGAAAAGGTGACAATCTGGTGCGCCATCAGCTCTTTGGCATCTGGGACCCCACTTTCACAAGGAAAATTGATGCAGACTATTTAGTACTTAAAGGAGCTGATCCTTTCAGCTGACAGCACTCCTAAACTTGAAACCCAGAAAGGAGCATAATGGATAATTAATCAAAACCTTTCACACCGTGCCTATTGGGGCAGTATCCAGGTAGCCCGACCCCTGTTCACGAACAGGTGTTTGCGAACACCTGTTCGTGAACAACTTATGACATGATGGTTACCAGATTATATGACTGCATAATAAGAGTAACCCCTTGACTCTTGAGCCGTGTCATGGCTTATTAAACAATTAAGCAACCTTACGAGATCAGTTCACATCATGCATCTTGGTATCTTGTCAAGTGGACTCAAGCTGGTAAAACCCTTATTGTCTCCAGAGCCAACCCAAGCTTTTGCGTTTTCTGCAACAAAAGGCATGCTGGTATATCATGCGCTGCTCATGACCCTGTAGCCCCTTCTGATGCCGGAGGTCTTGCTAATTCCTCTGCTCCTCGTGATCGTGTCCGCTTGAAATGTAACAATTGCGTTGTTATGAATGTCCACCGAGAATCTTCAATCCTCGATGATATTCTACATACTACTACAAAGAAGATAACAAAGCTTTGTCCTGTGCATCAACTCCCGGACTCCATTCCACCAACTCCTCAAGCCACGCTAGATCGAGACAACACTGAGCCCTTTACTAGTCCAACTACACAGCAAGGAATAAGGATCACAAACATCCTTGCTCCCACCACCTCCAGCTGATGTATTGCAGCCTAGTCCTCCAGCTGATCATCCCCCTTCTACAAACAGAATAGGACACATTCGGACCAATCAACTATTCACGAACACCTTTTCGCGAACAACTGTTCACTAGATGGTACAGAAATGAAGATCACTGGACACTGCCACCTTGACGGTTATGTCACCTTCCAGAACCCCATTCTACTAAGCCACAGCAAAGATAAACACATACACACACATACACATACACTTGAACGCCTAGTTTATGCTGTTAGGAACTGTAATTAAGGTTCTGCAATTAAAGTTCTCTGAATGAAATCAGTTTTGAAAAAATTTAATCCATTAAATGGTTTTAATAACTGCACTGTCAAGATTAGAAAAGTGAAAAAACTCAGAATTGTTCTTTTTATTATAAAATATGATATTGTATAGTAATTGATGTTAAATAAACATAATATACCATTAACATATTATATATATATAATATTTGGTTCACTGATACCAAATTCCGGTAATTTCAGTTTCATTTCATCAAAATATGTAAATTGCTGTCTTAGCATTGTATTGTTATGTTATGGTATCTCAAGAGATGATCGTTTCCCTTTAAAAAAATTGTATTCCACAATTTCACTTTCGAAACATTTTTTAGTCTTGAAGTTTGGCTATATTAATTATTTTTTTAATAAAAATGACTCTTTTTTTTTACAGTACTGTATTTTTTTATTTAGAGTGATTTGTTCGTGATTTTTCTACATATTTTTCTATGCAATTTTTCATGCATTTTTTTCATGCATTTCCACGTCCTGCACAGCAGTTTGAAGCTTCTTTAAAGCACCTTTTTACCAACATCATCAGCACGATTAAAATAACATAACCGCTAACCAGCTAACCAAAGCTATCCAGAAAATGTTTATTTCCTAGCTCAAAGCTCCGTCGCACTCATTTTATGGCAAAAGCAGTACAAAGAAGACAGTTTTGTGGCAGACCACACCCACAGTGATCGGCGAAATTTTACGAAAACTTAAACCCATATCTCTAACCCCTGAAATTTGGGTTAAATTCTGAAACAAATTACTTGACTTGCATAGCACCATGTAAAGCACGGTGTATTTGCAAATTTATTGCTTGATTAAAAATGATATTGAAATGAATCCCAAACTGATGTTAATATAATATAAAATGACTAAATCATAATGAATCTTTCTTTGTCTTCTTAAACACAAAGATCACTTGTCTCACTGTTTCAATTTACTGACTTTTACGAACAGAAATAAATCAATACTGTTTAAATTATAATTTGTTTCGATTTCCAGATCTTAATCATCTTGAAATTCTTGACGATTTTCCTCTTGGTAACTAATTTTTGATGCTTCATACTTGTAGCATGGCATTAAAAAGGAAGCGTGATGAGGATGATAATCCAAAGACTCGCTACCGGTAAAACAAATATTTACCATTTCTAACACAACATAGAAAATTAAGCTAGGGTTATCAAGCAAACATATTTGTTGCTCCTAAATTTCAAATTGAATACATGCTTCATCTTTCAGAGAAGATAAAACTATATAAAACCATTTTCAGGCAAGACTCCGGTTACCAGTCTATTAGCTGTGAATTGAACCAGTTTGACTCTGATATTGTGTATCCAGATCAGGAGGAGGTCTCCACGAATGGTTCCGTAAGTGATGAGATGGAATCATCAGACACATGGTAATTTATTCTATAGAAACATAATCCGTTCACCGTTGCCAGTTTTTATCTTGAATTGTTTCTTAGTATCTTGAGCAGATTGTATTTTATAAATCTATGATCTACATTCTACAATATAGTATAGATTTAAACTGGTCATTTTAGGCCTCATTTGGAATGATGATAAATCATATTTCAGGTGTCCCGGTTATAATATAATGGAGATAGAAGATCAGAGTTATAATCCATATGTAAAAATACCTGTGCCCTTCACAGGGCTGTCATGTCTTGATATGTTGTTATCAGTTGAAGAAGAAATAGATCATACAGAACAAGATCAATTGCTTGATGAGCTCTTCCGGGAGTCAGAAAATTTTAGTATAGTCCCCTCTCCTCTTCTTGGAATAGAGATAATCGAAACAAAGATGGAAGGTCACAGTCATGGCTTTAATGACGAGAGAAAACAAAATATCAAATCAAGTTTAGATCATGATGATATAATATGGAAGCTGAACGTCAAAAATTTTGATGTACAAGTTATGAACCTACTAATAGGTTGTCATGCCTACCAAAAATTTAAAGTCCAGGGTGAAAAAAGTGGAGACACTTCCAATGTAAATGTTAAAACATGGGGGATTTCTGACTTTAATTGGAGCAACCTAAAGAACATTTTAGAGTCCGACGGAGATGTTGAGATAACGAAAGAACGCCCGGGGAGAAAACAAAAGTGGGAAAAAGTTGAAAGATTTTGTAAAAGAAACATAGTTAAGAAAAGATCTGTAGCATTTGCAGAAAATCTTATTCGAGGTTTGGCATTACATGAAATTAATAAAAAGCTGAATGCTAATGCAAAAGATGTTATGGATCAGAAAGAACAAAAGGCTTTGAAGAACAAATTTACCAATTTTAGTCGGAGAGATAGAGGGGCAGGAAAAAAGTTAGAGGAACAATTCCTCAATGAGCATAAAGTGCTTAACAAGTTCAGTGGATGTAGAGAAGTTGACGAATATTTTAATAAAATAACGATATTTATTTTTGATTTTGAGGGACATCTAGAGTATGTCAGCCCCACGCTCTGCGAAGAATCAGTGTATTTGTATAAAGGGGACTCCTGTGAGTTTTTCTTGATAAAAAATTTGAAAGGATTTTGCCGAATCGAAGATTAATTAATGGTCATGCTTTTGCTTTGGGATAGTTTTTATCTTATTTTGAAAATTATATTTTTGTATTAAGTATCCTATCTATTATCTTTTCTATGTAAAGTATTCTTTTAAAAGTTAAAGGATTTGTCTGAGTTGATATTACTGGTATGAAAACCGTCCTGATCCGACAAATGTATCAGTCCACACAGAAATATTGGTTCTGAATATTAAAGTTTATGATCAGACGTTTCTGTTCCCAATTTGAACGCGATAATTTCTTAAACCAACATTTATTGAACAAATTTTTTACAATGAGAAGTTGCCAAAATTATAGGTAAGGTTGAAGAGTCGTTTTGTAGATTATCGGATCATGTCGGTTTTTTGGCGTTGAAAACTTCGTCACAAACAGTGTTCAATAGTTGAATGTGCATTACATTTATTGTATTCAATATAATGGTGTGCTAGCTTAAAGCGTTAACAGATCTAGTATTCCAAATTGAGAAATTTATTGATATTTTGCGCATTTTGCCCATGTCTTTTGGTCATGCTCGCTAATGATTGAAAAAAAGATAGAGTGGGTAAAGTTACTGTAAAAGGTCGTCTATGCGAACCTTATAGTGAGTTGGGTTTAAGGTTACGTAATGAGTAAAAGCCAGATGTTATTAAATATAATTGCACTGTGCTCTTTTGAAAGCTTTTAAACGGTTTTACGTACTGTTTAACAATTTCTCCGAAAAAGATAGAAATTTAATCTTACCGTGATTAAACTGTTATTGTACTCTGTCTAGTGTTACCCACAGTATGGGTTAGGTTTACTGCAATGTGGACTAGTTTAGATTTAAGTCTAGAACAAGTACTTAGAAGTACTTTACATTGCGTTAAACCTCGCCCATTCTGTTTATCTTGTATTTAAACGTATCTTTCTAGATTTGTTTAATATTTTGTATGAGAGTCTTAAATTTAAAGAGGGCGCATGACAATCAGCCATGTTAAAGAGTTAAAGATCGTGCGAGCTTTGAGAACAGTGGTATTTAAAAGTTGTATACTTGTATTAGTGAATAGTGATATTACGACATTTACATACTTGTTTTTCAGTTTGATAGCTCTGTAAAGTTTTAAATCAAGCGAAATGGTACTACCATTCTATAGTGGTTATGATTCAAGATCATGTTGTAGTATCGGCATCGATTAGATGCTGGTGAATGCTTTAAAGATTTGGCCCAAGAAATACCTGGGTCACTTTTTGTATGCATGATATTATGGTTAGTCTTACGTACTGTTTTACTCTCTTTTCAAAGTAAATACAGTGCATTTTATAATAAAAAGGTTCAAGCTTGAAATTCAAGTATCTTTAATTTTTATCTGACACCCTGAATAGCTTCTGATTTTATCTTTTTATGTTACGAATAAGTACTGCTTTTAATTTTTTCTGTTTATGTGTTTTTAAGTCTGGTTTTTAAAATATTTTCCCGAAATGGTAACCAGGTAACCGTGGTATATTTTTATAAAATTATTACACGTAATGTTTTATACTCTCTTTTCAGAGTTATAGCTTTATAGCAGTGGAAATTTTCAAGTCATCCCAATATTAATAACTCAGCTTTTATTTCTCTTTCTAATCCAAGATAAGGCTTTTTACTGTTTTCATCTGTCTATTGTTAATGATAACTAAACTCGATTTCAGGGATACTTAACACCCAAAAATTAAAATTAAAGTATACCGAAATCAATACCTTGAAATTTTAAGATTGAAGTCAAAACAGCCAAATTAAGAAAACCTTGTTTCATCGAATAAAGAAGTATAAATCGTTTTCCTTACAACTCTTGTGTTGATTTATGTATAGATATGTGACGGGCTACACGCACTAAGGGAGTAATCTCCGTGACTCCTCCTCTAAGAAGAAAGCTACCGTAACACAGCAGACAATGTCTTCAAGGTTAGTATTTAATTACTAAAATATCAGTAATAATTAATAATACATAATCGTGTATAGTACTAGTCGTGTGTACTGTGATACTATTTTAAATGACACCTACGATAAGTCAAATATATTACATATTGTACATGTTAAATATGTTTAAAATATTGTATGATATGTAAGATATGTTAAATATGTTAAATATGTTACATACACTATGTAAGATATGTTAAATATGTTAAATATGTTAAATATGTTAAATATGTTAAATATGTTAAATATGCTAAATATGTTAAATATGTTAAATATGTTACATACACTATGTAAGATATGTTAAATATGTTAAATAACTGCAGGTTAGACAGACTGCTAGTACTGCTGGACACTGGCTCCACTGCTGTAGTAAGGTCAGCAGCAGCTAAACAGCTGGGAGACATCCAACAATCCCACCCTCGTGAGCTGCAGAACCTTCTCCAGCGGGTAATTACTAATTGGTTAATTGATTGTTAATTACAGTAGAACCTCTGTTATATAATACAGGGCCCCAATTCCAAGTATCTGAAGTCCCTCAAATAACCTGTCAAGCGTCTCAGCTAGGAAGTCTTAGGCAGAACGTTTTAAAACAGGAAGTGTTAATTGTTTGCAAATCCCGTGCATTTATATTATTATTATATATAGGGATTATAGCACATATTATGAAGCAACAAAATACTATTAGAGTTACAATTAGCGTTACTTTCTCACCTGTTAATCGGTCACTAAATTTAAATTGTTCAGTGAATGGGCATATCTGCGTATGATTGATAGATAATTCGTATTTTAACTGAGCAAGAAACTAGCCAATAGCAATAATAATAAAATTAAAATCAGTTCGTATGTACATCGTTTTTCTTCAAAGGGAAAACAGTCTCACACAGTTTGATCCAGTATTATCGAACCTCCAGAGAATAAACACCTGTTGACCTGTTTGCAATATATAAGCTAATCTTAAAATAAGAAATGATATTTGTTACAGTAAATTACTCCAGGTTTATGTGTATCTGAAGTCTAAGACGTGGGAGAGTAGAGTTGCTGCTGGGGAGGCTATCACAGCTATTGTTCAGCATGTTCCTCTGTGGGGCAACTGTAAAGGTAAGGCTATCACTGCTTTTACTAAATTGTTTTATTATTAAATACATTTATATAATTACATATCATTACTAAATACATGTAAGTACATTATCTATGCTTTACAGTCTACTCAGTACTATACATACAATCGCAATCCATACATATGTCATATACCACCAGTCTATAATACACACTGTAATCATTACATTCAAGTTATATAATATTTACTGATACATAACACATGTGGCACTTTGTAGAATGACTAATGAATTTAGTTATTGAACTTCTATACTGGTTAATAATTACTAAAGTATTGGCACGATAAATGTCTAATAATTACTGAATAATTGGAACATGTGCTCTCTAGCAATCACTAAATTTTTAGAAAGTTAAAATAAGTAATTCTAATTCTAAGTACCTAGGGGTCGTTCAAATATTACGCAAGCCACTTTACACACAGTTAATAGCTATTGTGTAGAAATCCCATTAGCGCTTTTCAGAACCCTACCCTTAGGCTGAATTACGTAATATTGGTCCCTGTAGTATAATGTAAAAACTAAGTTATTTATACTGTTTAAAAGCGACTAGTATTACGTTACATTCTAACTAATAAACTTCCTTTACAGCATCACCTATAGTTTCTTATATAACTATAATAACTAACTCAAATAATCAAATATTTACTGATAAATTGCTGTATTAAATTTGACTAAATTTACCTTAGTCGGTAATATTATGGGGGTCAAATTTGGTTCTTTTCGGGCCAAACAACCATAATATTATAGGAGTCCATATTTTTAACACCCATAATTCCACCCCCCATAATATTACCGACTAAGGTATTCAGATCTATTTATTTACACCCAATATCTCCAGTGGAAGAGGAACAGTGTGGATACCTAACATTCCAAACCTTCTCACTGGAAGATGTCATGAGGCATGGTACCCCACTACTGGCTAGTGTCGGAACCGAGTTCGATTCTCATTTAGCGGTTAGTTCCTGTTTGTGTGTTTAGGTGTTTTTCGTGTGTCAATTTGATGGTTTAGTTTCATATGGCTTGACTCATCTTCAAGCTGTTTCCTTTCTGTCTCGGAAAAGTATAAACTTCTTGAATAGTTGAATTACAATGAGCGAAATCAGTATAATAATTGAATCTGACCCACTGTTCCAGGACCAACCAGGACAGAAGCAGCGGCTATCTAAAGAGCTGGGTTTAACGGTGGGTAATGTTCAGCTATCAGATGATCTGTTTAATGACGAGGATCTGGTTCAAGCTCCTCCTCCTCCTCCTGCTAACATCAAACCTGAGGACCTCAAGAGGGTCAGTGCTATTTGTTAACAGTTTGTTTATCTGTTGTTTGTTGAACTCTTGACTTTAACCGTATGGTCAATAAGCCTGATATAATGAATAATCAGTCCTTTCTTCTTCAGAGTATAAATAGTTTACTGAACGGTGACGAGACCTTATCGGCAAGGGAAAGAAATAAAGCTAAACGTAAAGCTAAACAGTTATCTCGTCAAAACAGCCTCAGTGGACCAAGGTTTGCTCATATTATTTGACACCAAATATTTCCTTTAAGAATAATTAAATAATTTTAAGAATTACAGATACTTACATGTGTTCAAGTAATTATATAATATGGTCTAGAACCTTATCATTTAAATTTAAATCGAAAGAAGGGATGAAGATGTCAGCCTTAGAGCTTGTTGGGCCCAAACATCTTTCATCTTTTAAAGGAATTATAGGGGAATTGATCCTGAAATCACCACCAAAACTGTGTTTTAAAATATTACAATTTAAAATATATAGAATTTGTTTTCAAACATGAAAAATAAGATTCGAAATATAACTTATACGAGTTACCAACCATACAATAGCAAGAGAGTCCGGGACTGTAAGACACAAATTCGATTATTGTAACTGGACCCTGCTGTTTTAAGAACGTATGTCTCACTCTTCCACTCCCATACCAGAGTTGACTCGTGCCCCCGACACCCAAACCCTAGCATATCCTCCTGAAGATGTTTATTGTTAACTAACACTGTTACTAACTAATCACTGTTACCTACTATAACACTGTTACTAACTAACACTGTTTCATTTACTTACTACCACTGTTTACTAACTAACACTGTTACTAACTACACTGTTACTAACTATCACTGTTTACTAACTAACACTGTACTAACTAACCACTGGTTCTATTTATTACAAACACTGTTACGAACTAACACTTGTTACAACTAACACAGTTCTAACTAACAATGTTACACTAACACCGTTCTAACTAACACTGTTCTTAACTAACTAACAATGTTTGTACTAACTAACACTGTAGTAGTTACTACACTGTTACTAACTAACATCTGTACAAACTACTTGATTTAGGACTCGTGTTATTCTAGTCATTTCTTTGTTTAAATATTGATTATTGAGTGTAAGTTTGGTGGTTGTCAAAAATTTCATGAGACAATGTCATCGAATTCCAACAGGAAAATTACCTTTTAAATTTGCTTACTATACTTACAACAGCAGATCTTATGTAGTACAGTGACTACCATTGCAAAATGTAATAAGTGTAGTAACAGCAATTGGAGACCAACTGTTCCTCAACGTTTACCCACAGGAATGGAATGGATACATTATGTTTTCCCCTGGTGCAGTGTCCAATTCATGACATTTTAAATATAATTTCAGAACCGGGGGGGGGGGGGGGGGGGTGGGTGTGTTTACAAACTTATTCATTACAGACCGTTTATATTTTATAGTAAAAAACATTCGTCTGGAAATCAGGACCTAAGTGTCCTATTATATACTATATTATATACTTAGAACAATCTCACAGACTGTAGACTGGTAACAATGAGCAATTTGTACTAGCATAAACACACACAGTCACATGGAATTAGTAATGGTTGCCCGGTTAGCTGACAAAAATGGACACACACCACGCACGCACGCACGCCGCACGCACCACGCACGCACGCACGCACACACACACACACACTCACACACACACACACACACACACACACACACACACAACACACACACACACACACACACACACACACAACACACACAAATACTCATCACAGTAGTACAGAACAGATCCCTGGAGGTGAACACAGTGCTCATTACACAGAACCAAGCAATGTAATCGTAGCACTGCAACTAAAAGCTGTATCATCCTACTCATATGATGATTGGGCAGGCAGAGGACGTGCAAACTGTAGCTGTCACGTGACTGACGTAACAACCATTATACAGCGAGACTAAAGGACTGTGGGGATATCTAAGAGACTGACAGTAAAAGGCGTAGTGTGATTAATTTTGCCCTGATTATATCGGAGCGATCTGGGCACGATTTTCATACAACAAACTTGTCAAAAGTCAATGAACTGAAGCCACAGTGTGAACAGAACATTTGGGTAATTAATGCTTTTGTGTAAGACTGGAATAACACATGTATCTATTAGCAATACAAGCTAGAACCCGTCTACCCTAAAAGTGGGTCAAGACTCGAGAGATCAAAAATAAGTATTACCTAATTAATTCGCGTTTTTGACCCCACTGGAGTCAAAATTTTGGCACTAAAATTCTTTTATACCCTGCCAATTTTTAATTTTTTTCATGCTTATTTGAAGGCATTAAAGCATTTGCCCAGCAAAAAAATTTCAGTTTGTATATCTTTTACGGTTTTTTGCGGAAGTCGCGTTAAAGTGTATGCCGAGGTGTCAGTAAAATGCACGGATCCAGATAACATATTTATAATATTCATGGCTGGATTCTACACAAAAAAAGAAAGCGGTTGTGATTAGATCTTCGAAGTCTTTGCATCGTTTTAATTACATCAATTCTGAGACATTATACTTAAAGTAAACTACAACAATACGATTCATATACAATTGAAATAAAAAAAAACTAAAAGCAGTGGGAAAATCCTGATGAACTGAAATTTAAAAAAAAGAAACTGAAAGCCGTTAAAAATGACTCTTATCTTAATCTCTTATCTAAATACCGGATAACTGATTCTCGAAAACACTTAAAATCACAACAAAAACCTGTAAATTTATACTATTTAAGTAAAAAAATGTAATATGCCCGTCACTGGAATAAATGTATAACAAAATAAAATCTACAAAATATACTAAAACTAAAACTAAGCTCCCGCTGATTTAAAAGTAAGTGTTACATCAGGGTTTCCATACCCCCAAACCGTTCAAGGGTTTTCAATTGGGTCTGGTAAACCCCTCTCTAGCGTCCATACCTTTCTTTGTCCGCTTTACTAATATAGGCTCAAATACTAAAGCGTCTACTAGAATGACAGAAAGTGCTTTACTGAGTGAGGAATATAGTGAGGCTATGGTACTAAAAAATCTACATCATGATCAATATCTAAAAAATGTAACTAATTTACAACTTCTTATACCTTTCTTTATGTAACTCTTATGGTTAGAGCCTCTATTAGGGAGATTGTGAGGTAAGTATAACCGACATACGACTGTTTACAAGTCTTACACTCCATTAAAATTAAATGAGGGTTATAAACTCTGACAAGATTTTACTTTGTGTTATAGGGAAAACTTTTTTAGAAGGTGACTACTACAATGGATCAGGGGGACAGGAATTTTGCTTACAAACATAACATATACTCACAAGCAGGCACCCGGGTCGACAGCCCCGAACCGCCCTCGACTGTTCGGAGTCCGGTTCCGGATCTGGCTTTTCAGTTGTTTCCTCTCATTAACACAGATTTAAAGTTCCACTGCACGTACTTATTGTGTACAAGCAAGCCACCGATAGTTTGATTCTTTCGATGACTCACGATTACACTGTCCACACGTACCAGCTTCTTCAGGGCCGGTCAAGGTAGAAGGTGCTTATACATATGGATAATGCCCCCCATGTTTGGGAAGTGCTGGATTTGATCCATCACCAATGGGTATTAAACAGCAGTCCGACTCATCCTTGACTTAAGGGTATACAAGTTTTTCCATTAGCTATATCACTAATTTTTAAAGGCATCTTCTATACTACTGGAATGATAACTCGGCTATATATATTATATATTTTATTACTAAATATATAACTTGTCAGAGTAATAACTATTTAATTTATGGAGTTGAGAACTTGTAACAGTCGTAGTAGGATATACTACTTCTAATCTCCCTAAGAGATTTTCTAACATAAAAGCCCACAATTAAGAAAGTATCAGAAGTTGTAAGTTAGTAAATCACTTTTTAGATATTGATCTTGATTGAGATTTTAGTGTCTATAGCTTATATAACTGTTCACTTATACCACCTTTCTGTATTATCGTGGACGCCTCTTGAATTTAAACCTGCAATAAGACAAGCAGATAGGGAAAAGGCCATGTAAGCTAGAGAAGGGTTTCTAACCAGACACAATTGAAAACCCTTGAGCGGTATGGGGGATGAACACCCTCGATCGTAAACCACAACCTATTTAAATCCGCTGGAGCTGAAGTTTAGTTTTATTTTAATTTTATTTGACATGATCTCAGCCTATTAACCAGTTTTAGTTTTTACTAGATTGCTATCAGAACGTGGTTTTTATATTCATTACCTAATATATATTTTTACTGCTTGATCAGAGAACTCTAGCTTTTTTTCCGAGAAACTAATCTTTAATAGATTAGATAAAATGTACGCAGCCATTCTTTTCGTTTGATTATTACTCAGTATACTTTTAGTTTTTGTATCCGTTTTAAGTCTCATAGTTTTTGGACTCTTCCAAGCCTTGTTTTCCTTTCCTAGTTTGTAAGTTATTTTAAAGATTTGTGAATATCCAGTTGCTTTTAGAACAATTTATCTCAGATAACGAGGTTTATAAAATGAGCTAAGACTTAATTCGAAGATCTAATCAACACCGACTTTTTAATGTGTAGAGTACAGCTACAAAATTATATATATATATATCGTCTCGCTATAATTTTTTTTTTATATTTTTAAAAAAAAAAGTAAATAAAAGGGAATATAGGCTGAGTGTATGTACAATGAAAACCACACTAAAATTACTAAACCCGAAGACTAATGGAAACTGTAGAGATATCTTTCAGAGATTGAGAGGGTGTGTATCTGTCAAATGTGGGGAGGTCATACAACGTGAACTGACCACTGAAATTATTTACATTGTTATTCGTTTTTTCCCTTTATAGATATTTAATTATAAAACTATTCAAATCAAAAATAGAACATAGAGAACATCTTGATGACTGATAAGTCCCAAGAGAAAAATAACACAGAATAAACTAAATCATGCTTAACTTCTCCTCCATGCTTTTTCTATCTGTTGCAAAAAGTCCCTTAAAATGGTATAAAACGTCTGTAATTTACAATCTAAATTTCTGTCTCTTAACTCGTTCAAAAATAGTTTTTTAACAAGTTTGACTGTTCGTCCGACGCTAACCTCACATCAACACGGAACTCTCTACAAGCAAAATGTAAGGCCAACGGGCCAGGTAAGTTATTATCACTGGCCACTGCGGAGGATGTGACCGAGCATTCCTCCACCGTTACGAGCAACACGCTCATTA